GACTGTCTTTTTAATGCAAGCATGTGTAGGACAGCTACTATAATCATTGTTTTATAGTCATCGAAATGCGTGGGGCATCTTCTAGATGAGGGTCTAGTGGAGATTCTGTTTCTGAGATCTTGAAATTCGTTTTTCAGCAGAGTTAAAACATACATTCTGTCTACTGCAGCATTTTTGCAAAATTAGCCAAAAAATTTCACATAGAGAGAATCTCATAGTGTGGAATGTATTTACTACAAGACAAACGTAAGCTGTGCTTAAAACACGCGGAGTCTTTAATAGACTCAGAAGATAATTGTCAACATTTGTGTTAGAGAAATCTCAGAATGCATTTACATAATCATAGTAATGACAAAAAAATGTTGTGCTGTAATTGAAATATGTTACCAATTAACAAAGAATGATAAATTTTGCATAAACTATTTATATACATTTATAGAAGTTATGTTCTTTATTTTCAGCAATTTTTCAAGAGTCCCTCATCTCGCAGGAACAGAACAAAATTTTCTTCTCGCAAAACAAATTCAAGCCCAATGGAAGGAATATGGCTTGGATAAAGTAGAACTGGCTCATTACGATATTCTTTTATCATACCCAAATAAGACAAGTCCAAACTACATCTCAATTATTGATGATTCTGGCAATGAGGTAAATCTTAAACATTGAGCTACCTGCAGTCTGTTCTGCATGTCTTCCCTAATCTATAAATGTTTTAGATATCTTCTTTTAATTTTCTTTCTTTGTAATAAAACGAAGTATTTTGTAGAATTGAAGTAAAGTATGTTTAATACTTACATTTACGAGCAGGAGAAACCTTCACCTTTGTGGATATTACATTACTGGATAAGATATTAAAAATAATTTATATCTTGTTAACCCATTTTTTTTTTTTGTGATGTTTTGTTTCTTTTTAATTGCTTATAGCATGTAGCCATTGACATCACAATCCAGTTCATTCAAGGCACAGGCAGGGCACACATTGCACTGGAGGGGAAGAAATGTGTAACTTTGTTTATGTTTCGTCTACTCTTTTCATGCTGATGTGTAGATGCAAAGAACATAATTTAAAACAAAAACTGTCAGGGAGCCACTACGGATTGCCAGTCAATATAAGTTGACAATGAATGGATGTAGTTGTGGTGACTTTGAGAAACACACTGTAAAATTTAAGCTAAAAAGGCTAGTTTTTTATTTATTTTTTCAATTTTGCAATTTGCAAGTTTTTATCATTTGGGCTCTTTCGTTATCATGACTCACTTGTTAGTGAATTAGTGAATGTAGTGTGAACTGACTTGCAAAGGCTAACAGGGCTAATTAATTTCTGTAGATTCTCTAGTGACCAGAAGATGATGGTTAGTGAATACAATCCATTGTTTAACAATTCCTAAGAATAGCTATGGTGTTATCAACTTAGAATTATTAACGTTTAACATCAATAATGTTTAATTAGTTTAGTCTTTTTATAATTCCATATTTAATTAGAAATGTTTGACAAGTGTGTGTAACGAAATGCTATATTGAATAAAATAATGTAAAGGACAAAGTATGGATCCAGTTAACTTCTTAAATCTTTTTTGTTGACCTTTTGTAAATGTGACTTTTGAAAAAAATCACTGTGCAGATAAAATGTACTGTCTAATGCACATTGATGGATAATTTCCGCAACATTTTAATGGTCTTCAGAGGAAACATTATATGGCACTGCAGTAAAACAAACTCATACAGTGCCATGCTTACTAATCAGATTTATGTTGTGTGGAAATGGATACAATTTTCCAAATGATCTTGTGACTGTCCCATGATGTAAATCAAAATACAAATATATTTCAAATATATGGAAATAATACATCTATATCTGTATTTCCTGTAATGAATGTCTCACATCAAGGCTAGATTCTATAGTGAACTGGGAAGATGGATCATTTATTTTATAGGTCTGAAACAGGTTGTATTGAATTTCTTGAGCTCTAGTCTAGTGAAACCAGGATGATGCTTAAAAAGAAACCTGGAATTAACAGCAGTTCAATGGTTATTGAGTAGCAAAGCTGAGCAAATCTGGTTATGACTACAGACTAAAAGATTACTAGACTCCAGGTGACTGGCAAGAGGAGAGCATGCAGTGCTACCACTCACGCCGTTTACTTCATGTAGCTTGGCCAAGCAAACCATGCAGCAGAAGAAGATATTCATCCTATACCCAGTCTAACAGGAAGTGTTCGCTGAGAGCACCAAAGAGCTTCCTCTCAATCCAGGTAAAGGAAGTAGAGGTTCTTCTGCCACGGTCTGCTTGGCCACTCTACATGAAGCTAGATAAGCAGGTGCACAAGGGGGGGGAAGAGAGAAGGGCACACAAAAGGGCCTGGGGAGGGGGGGAACAGTGACCCAGAGATGAGTTGGGAAGGGGACTATGACACACAGAGAGGCCAGAGATGGGGGCAATGACATACAGAGGGGCTGAGAAAGGGGAATATGACACACAGAGGGGCTGAGAAGGGGGAAATGACACACAGATGGGCTGGTAAGAGCACAATCATACACACTTTGGGGGGGGCTGGGGAAGGGGACAATAACACTGATGGGCTAAGAAGGGAACAATGACATGCAGAGGGGCTGGGAAAGGGGACAATGACACGCAGAGGGGCTGGAAAAGGGGACAATGATGCACAGAGACTGAGGGGAGAAAAAGATGCACAAAGGAACTGGGGAGAAGTAAGAGACACAAAGGGGATGTGGGAATTAAGACATAAAAAGTAGGAAAGTAAGAGACACACAAAGGAAGTGTAAGACAAAAATGGGAAAATTGGGGATAAGATACACTAAAGGGGGATGTAAGACATGAAATGGGGTTGAGATACACAAAAAGGGGTAAGACATTGAAAAAATAACATGCAAAACACAAATCAAATCAATATATAACTGTCAGATTGATGGGTGGTGAAGATAATCTAGGGATTCAATAACCATGACACATTAGCCTTGAGGAATCAGTGTAGAACATCTGCATTGATGGATTACCATAATATTCTAATCTCAAAACACCACGTACATGTTTGATGCTGCTGGCTAGTATTTTGTTGCTGAAGTAGGATAAAGTAATTCAATCTAATGATGTGTTCAGAATCCCCAAAACCAACCAGGGCCCCAAAGGATGAAGCTAAGGATTTAGATGCCTTATAAGTCGGAGGAGTCATTTTTTACCTTCTATCCAGATTTATCAAGAGGTAAATGAAACCCTGAGGCTATTTATACAATTATTATCATCACCACTGAACATCCAACGGAGATAAGCAGACAATCATCAGTGGACATTGCTAATATATGATTTACTTTCAGACCTTAACATATCTTCTCAGAAATGGCTTTATCAATGTGTTTTCATGCATTGAAAAAGAACTCGGTTTATGCCTACAGCCATGAACATAACTTTCGAATCCCCCTGGTAACATGATTATCAGGGCTGTTGTTTGTTTGGGTTGTTTTATGCATAATTATAACATATTTCCATTTTAGTTTATCCTTAATTTGCTATGTCATTTAGAATAGATTACAGGATATTGATTTCTATATAAGCTTAGACCCTTTTGTGTCAACAGCGGCCAATCTTACTGCCAGTCTTACTTTAGATACCTCTATAACAAAAGTGTCAAACTGTATAATCATAACAATGTGTTTTTTAATTGACTAACTTAATATTGATATCTAGTTTATTTCATATTTGATTTGTAGACTGACACCAAATCTCCCCACACAACTATTTATCTATAATGGGAGCAAATTGCATATTATATTGGTAAAGACATTAAACATAGTTTTGGGATTACTTAGAGTGTCATCTTTAGCAAAGATGGTGCACAATGGACCTTTGATGCTGCAGCTTAAAAGAAGTAATTGGAGCAGGGATGCTAGGACATTTTATTTAGCATGAAACCCGGAATGGGAACAGTGAGACAGTGAATACCCGACACACAAAATGGAAAATTGGAAATACAATACTGTCTGCTTTACATGGAAATTGGGCACAAAACCGTAACTGTGACATACTAAGTATTGGTCCTACACTCTCCCAGGTATCTCCTTCCAAATAAACTATAACCCTTCCTATGTTCTCCTTGTCAGTGGTGCACAATTGGGGCCTTGGTGAGGTGTAGATAGGACAACCCATATAGGGTTAGTGAATGCGTCTGCAATCAGTATGAGGCCTAGCTCCTTCTAGCTTTTCTTTCTCCTTCATCGCTGCTTCTTCCAGGTCAGGAAACCTAAGGCTGGCACACAGGATATTCTGGAGCATTGGAACTTAGCTAGACTTACACCTCAGAGAACAGCAGCCTCTTGCTCCGAGTGTAAGCCAGACTACAGCTATGTAAACTCTTCAAGCTGACAATATGTCAGAGATTCTTTCAGTTGGAGGAGTGCTGGCAATGCTTTCATGGCAGCTTACTGGGATAATGATGGAATCATTTCTAGATAGACACCCAGCTTTGGTACTACTATGTGTTGGGCTTAGTCATTGAGAGAGATCCTCCTCTTCAAGATCCTGTCATCAATCACTCACTTATGTATCTTCTGTAAAACCCGTTAATTATTTTTTTAATGCACATTGTCAGACATCCCAACATGCAGAAACGTATTTCAGGGAGGTGGCTGCACCCCTGCCCCTTTTCCCCCTGTGCGTGCCCTCCCCCTGCTCCCCCCCACATGTTGGTCCCTATACACAGTCACACACAACCTATTACTACTATTTACACACACTATTAACACACAAACACATGCCCACACCTTGACACACAGATACACACTGACACACACACTGGTATATACACAACTTGACACAGATACACATTCTGGCATATAAAGACAACTTGACACACAGATACATGCACTGGCACATAAACACACATGTCCACACTGGTACATACACACAAACACAAACACACACACACACACACACTGGTACATACACACATATGCCCACACTGACAAATACACACACTGACACACATACATACACTCAGATACACACACTGGCACAGACACACATATGCCCACACTTACGCATCCACACAAATACACACTGGAACAGACACTCTGATACACGCACTAACACACACACACTGGTACATACACACAAACACACACTGGCACTGACACACAGATACACACTGGTACATATACACACTGACACAGAATACACACAGTCTGACACACATTGCAGCCACCTGTTAGCTTACTTTGGGGTCTGGGCTGAGGCTGATGGGAGTGAACATGTAGCTGTTCACTCCATGCTTCCTGTGGTGGTGGTGGTGGTGGTGCTGCTGCAGCTGCCTCCTCCTCCTTCCTCCCAACTGGAAGAAACTGCAGGGGCCCGGTCAGGATCTTAAATGGCAAGGGCACTCGACCAAGTTACTGCTCAGAAATAACACCCATTGGGTGAGTATTCAGTATTTGGGTGGGGGCAGTTAATGAGGGCATTTTAACATGTAATAATATCCTTGAAATTAAAAAAAACACACTCACTCTGACATACATTGTATCACATTGTATTGTGTGTGTGATTTCCGGGATATTACACATGGTGTGCCGGTATCAGGGAGCCGCATTAAACATGCGGGGGTCTCCTGGACCTACCAGGATACTTGAGATGTCTGCATTCTTAATCTTGTTTAAAACGCATTCATGCATATTTGCTTTGTTATATATCTGATATATATATTCAGATCTGGGGAAAGCTGGTAGTTAAACAAGTGATGAGATTCCGTTATAGTAATAACTGATCTGAAATAAGAACCTGCTCTATCTCTACTCCACAGCCAACGGCAAAAAAAATGCTGTATATGTTACTGGAGTGCATTTAGATTATTTATGTTTATACATGACTTTCATGGATCACCCCCCAGGAGTAAATATAGACAATTTACCTTATTTTGCCAGAATAATTTTTCGGGTTGTCTCCACATGGATCTCACGCTGTTTGGTGCAATTGATATGTTTCTCTGATGAAATGGTTTAACCTACCCGTCTACGTCATATAGAAACCGTTATGAATAAAAAGTAATTCGGTGAACTTCTGCAGAAACTGTCCATCAACATGCATTATAGAAACATTAAGGAGTTGTATCGACAAATAAATCGGGAGCAACTATATGGAAACCAAAAGAATGTCTCACATTCCACTGGGTTCCGTTGACACTGTTCCTCTCTTTGAACTCTCTATAGGTCTAAAAAGACTTTCATTTTAGACATATTAAATAGAATTTAGGAGCCCAAAAAGACTAATGTATGATTGATTATAAATTCCTGATTTTTAAAACCACTCAGAAGTGTCGGCAAAATTTGTAGTCACTGGGAAAAGTGGGGGGGAAGTCATGAAACAGATGCCGCATGTGTACAAAACTTCAATTTTACATTAATATTTACTGATGTGCACAGTAACATTAGTCCTTCTACATCTCTTGTGCTATGGGTGACATGAAAAATAACATATTTCCAAATATATATTTTTCCAAAACCTCACTATGACTTGCTGTCAGTTCTTGCCAAGAGAAAATATTCTCACTGAATCTCATACAGACATAGCATGAAAAAAATCCTTCTCACAATCTGAAATACGCTCACTGAAATGCCACGTCTTCACTAGAATAACAAAAAAAAATTCTCAACAATCACAGACATTCTTAGACACGTCTGTAGCATTAAAATAACTGGTTTTATTCAATAAACATGTCCTTGTGGTGAAATCTTTAATGGAGCGTTTCAAGTACCATAACCACTGTGTTGATTTCTATATTTAATTTAATTTTACAGTGCACTGTAGTAATGATACCAGGAGTGCCCTCCTCTCTGAGAGACAAATGCTCTTAACTTTGAGCTAGCCCGGCTGTGCTGGGCTTAGCTCATTGGCTTTGAGTGATCACATCGGTTGAGAGTGATCAGGTCAGTTGAGTTAGCGGAAGTTTTAGCAAAAAGTGACAGTTGCCCACCGCCCCCAGGTAACACATCAAACTGTTAGCAAACCGTTTAACTAATTACATTGGTGGGGTGCCAGGGTGCTTTTGGCACCATAACTACTACAGAATCCTGTATTGGTTATGACACATAGAGTGTTCCTCTAGGGAATTTATGCAAAAATAGCTAGATGTTTGGTTTATGTTGTTTTTTTGATTTTGTTCTATTTTTGTTGTCACAATACTGTTATTTGTTAATAACCTCAAATTTGTCTGTAGCCCACCATCTGATGTGCCCTGTGCACTGGTAAAGCTAGAATAATCAGTTGTTTCATTTCATAAAGGTTTTCAGGACAGCTTTATCTGAACAAACACCGGCTGGATATGAAAATATATCAGATGTCGTCCCACCGTATAATGCATATTCAGCACAAGGCACTCCAGAGGTAATGATAATGATAATGTAAACAAGCGATTTATTAGATAGATTACAGTTTGGGCTACAAATAAACATTTATTAAATGGGCACTCTAAGCTCCATTAATATTATGGATCATGGTAGTGACTATGGTGCTATGAGCCCCATCTACCAGTTTAATAGTCAATTTATTTTATAACAGTTTGACAAAAACCCATTGTCTATGCAGCCGGATGCATATGAGTTCTTAAGCATTATCTTTATTATCCTTCTAAACTCGATCAACAATTGCCATCCCAGACAGATTTATAAAGATAATGCAGTAGTATAATTTCAACTTTATGCATGCAGCTGCCGAGAGAACACTCGGTCAGTGCCATGGAAAACTCAATTTCTTGTCAAAATGCTACTTTATACTTTATTCGCTTCAAAACACCTACCTGAATATGGCCTCGATTATTGAATATTGTTAGGCAAGCTTTCCCAATGGTTTAATATTTTTGTATAGACTATAAAAATTATTTAATTTTATGAAAAATATTTTAATATTGTAATATTTAGATTTTCGATATATTGAGATAGGTTTTATTTATGATATATTTTTAATATGTTGTTTTGCAGGGCGAGCTATTGTACGTAAATTATGCCCGCACAGAAGATTTTCACTTCCTTGAACGCAATTTAAATATTAGTTGTCGTGGAAAAATTCTTATCGCAAGATATGGAAAAATTTTCAGAGGCAACAAGGTACGTGCCATTCCTTCATACCTAATTATGTTCTCGATCAACTCAAAAGGAACACTCAACACACCTATGTCAGATGCATGTCATCTGTTTTTTATTTTACCAAAAAATGCAGATTTCAATAGAAATTGGCACTTATTGATTAAATTTGTTACACCCCCCTGGCAGTCAATAGACAACAGGTCCTGTTTCTTCCTGTTTTTTGTGCCCAGAGCACCTGCCTAGCCAAGACTTCTCCGTAATCTGCATTGCAAAGTTTGGAATTGGACAGCAACACAGTTGGGCTAAGGAAGAAGATGAGGTCATGCAAGGCTGCAGACAAAAGATTTGCAGCTTTTGCAAGCTGTTCTTAATTCTTCCCCAATGATAAAATGTATAACAAAATGCTTGCATGTTTTAATTGGGGGTATATCTACTAAAAAGTGATTTATTTATTTTTTATTTGGAAAGTGGAGTGTTTCCAGGCCAAGGTTCTAGAATAAAAACCCAGTGATTAACTTCACACACATTAATTGACAATTTCAGCAGTTTATTTTCATTTGGATATCCATTGATTGGAAGAGCACCAATCAAAATTGCAATAGATAGCTACTGGAACCTACTGTTACTCCATCTGAACACTCAAGGTTTCCAGTGACCATGAAGTCTACCCATCAAATTCAACTTTCAGTTTTTAATATTTGCTAGAATCTTAAATTGAGAACTGCAGCTGGACTTTTGGACCATACTGAATTATTAAATAGGCATTTTATTTTTCAAGGTCAAGAATGCACAAAACGCAGGTGCTATGGGATTAATTCTGTATTCCGATCCAGCCGATTACTCTGCACCTGGTGTTGATCCCTACCCAAACGGATGGAACCTTCCAGGTGATGGTGCCCAGAGAGGGAACATCCTTAATGTGAATGGTGCAGGAGATCCCTTAACACCAGGCTATCCTGCAAAAGGTGAGTCTGACATTAAAGAGTAAACCGAATGCTTTATTTATATTATAATGGGATTATGTGGTGTGCTGCAGGGAACATTGTTCTGCGACTGCTCTTTATATATTTATGCATCATGTATAGATGACACAGTGGCAATTTTGTACCTATTTCCAAGTGGATTGTGTTATACTTCAGAATAGGCAGAATAGGCAGAAATACTTCAGTTATTTGAAGTTGCTCTGGTGATTGGAGTCTGTATGCGCAGTGTTTCACTGAGACTCACTGTAACTCCCCCTCCCTCAGCTATGGCTAATGTTAAATCTGTGCATATTTGGCATCTGTTGTTAGCGAGAGGGAGGGCGGAGCAAAGAGGAGGGAGACAGAGAGCATGGACCCAACTCCCATCACTCACAGCATCCCCCCAGGCCCCTGGGAAGCCATTCTCCTGCACCCAAAAGTTATGGGCTTAAAATAAGTAATGTGATTTTTGTGTGTATATGTTATCTGTGTGAATGTGTTATCTCTGTGTGTGTGTACAGGTTATCTGTGCATGTGTGTTATTTGTGTGTCTGTGTGCCTGTGTGTGTCAGTGTTTGCATCTGTATGTCATTATGTGTATCTGTGTCAGTGTATCTGCATGTCTGTGCCTGTGTATCTATGTGTGTCAGTGTGTTTATCTGTAAGTGTGTCTGTGTGTCTACATGTGTGTCTTTGTATTTGGATGTGTCAATGTGTGTATGTGTATATGTATATGAGTATACATCTCAGCATGCAAACTCCAACACTACATACAAATACACTCCTGCATTCAAATGTCAACACCACATACATACAGTCCTACATTCAAAACCAAACACTGCACACAAATAAACTACTGCTTTCAAATAGAAACAGTACATAACAACACACAACACAACACAACACACAAATACGCCCCAACATTCATGCACACATACTCCATACAAAACATGCTTATCTTGAAACATACAAACACTGCAAAGTACAAACCTTCAAGGATGGGAAAATGGCAGATCCCAAGCAGACAAAGCATTGTGGGAGTTGAATGACAGTTGAGATTCTCCCTTTATGGCCACCCTTGCAATGGGGGGGCCAAAAAAAAAAAATCTTGCACCAGGGCCATCTCTGTTTTTTTATTTATTTTTTTTTTTTTTCAATTCAAGAATTTTGATTTTCTTTTTCATCAAGGTCAAAACATGAGGGTACTGTGGGGATATTTATGGGATAATAATAGTAAACAGTTGAGAATTGCCCACTAATTAAATTAAAGAACGTTTATCGTGTTAAGTGGAATGTATTTCATATAATTGATATCACAATGTATAAAAATAGATTTTATTTATGATAACCAATAATTAACAAATAATATTATGTAACATGCATGACAATAATCAATGAATATTCAGTATAAAATGGTATGCAATACAAAGAAATGGGTATTACGTTTCAATGGCTAAACGGCATTTCCTGTCAAGAATTCTGACGATTTATGACTAGCTTCCACAGACTGAAAGTGAAACTTTTCACACAGAGAACAGAATTCCTCAGAGTGCAGCGTAAGGTCGTAAAGTTTAGCAGACAGTTAGAATAACCCTTTCAATGCTGGCTAGATCTCCTAGGTAGTTAAGATCTATTCTTATGTAATTTTTAAATAAAATAACATTTAAACCAGTTTAAATTCATTTTCTTAAACCATCCAATAAGAGAATCTACATATTATATAAGCAGATTTTAATTTGTCTAAAAGATATCTATCTTAATTTAGAGCAAATCAATACACCTGGATAAAAACAGCGGTATGCTAACACGTGATAATATCACATCAATATATAATTATTCTTAATTCCACCTGCAGAATGGAATGTTTATAACTATATATTCTTAGTTAACTAAGATTTCTTAATATGGAAATCTGACCGTGCTTTATCCAGTCATATATAATGCTATTAATATAATTTAATTAATTTAATTAATTAAATGAAACCAGTATAATTACCAGTTGAGTAGATATTTCATCCGATTGGTAGTCTCTCTGCATGGAGGTGTTGGTTAGAAAGTCAGTAAATTCTAAGTGTTAGAGTTTTAGGAGTAGAGTGTTAGTCTCAGATGTTGTCCGAGTTGGAATCCCCAAACTTCCAATTCCTCTCTCCTCTCCTTTGCATATCTTGCATCTGCCTCCCCTCTCGTATATCTTGTATCCTCTATCTTCCCTTTGTCCTAACTTTTAAAGGGCCAGACTCTCTGTACGTCATCAGTTGATAACCCAATAGAAGCACTAGAGGTGTGGTTATCTTCCAGATCGCAAATTAGTTATTTGGTCTGTAGAGGGCAGTCTTGTCCCACTAAACATACCTATCCAGGAAAGAGTTAACTTTTCCTGGTGGCTATTTTGACGTCATTTTGCGTTATCTTTATAGCGCCATAATTTAAAATTTCAAAGGATTTCTTAAATTTTGTCCAGACTTAGCGTCTGCAATTCCTGCCATAATTTCTGATATGACAGATCATGAACTAAGTTTACCCTTTTCCATACAATGGTACCTTATATATATATATATATATATAGACCGTTAAATATTAAATTATTTAATCTTCTCTGTCACCATTGTCTGGGTTTAGATTTGATTATATTCTTTTAGCATTAGACAGTCTGTCCAACCCCCTTCCTTATCACTTGTTTATACTATGCATTCCTTAGCTCTGGCAAAGAGGCCAGTCTTACAGAAAGAAATCTAGTGTCTTCTTTGTTAATTTGAAATAACAAAATGGAGTCTGGTCTGTTCAGAGTGACTCAGAATATACACTTTTAGTGTCTATCATAGCACAAGATGTCTGCCGATATAAATACTCTGACAGTACAGAAAGGAAAAAGTTATTTTTTTACCAGGGAGAAAGAGTCATCCATTACATACATATGTTCACACGATAATATACTCACCATCATTGGATTGAGTACATCGTATGTGACACTTTTAGAAAACAGATACATTCAGAGACTAGGGTCATACCTTGGTTGTGAAACCCTGTTGGTTATTAAGCATACAAGTTGGTGTACAGCTTTTTCCCACAGTCTTGGTATTTGTCGTGGGCCTGCCTATGTTTGGTTATTCCCCCCCACTCCCCGCCCTCTGAAGTTATCTTTTATGTTAATCTCCAGTTATTAAGGAGGTAAGAGTGAAACGTGGGGGTGGAGTGTCTCTACATTTTGCTCCAGGGCTAGAGTTCACTCTCGCGAGATTTGGAGCATTGCCGTGGTAACCGCGGCAACGCTCCGTGCCCTCGAGAGAAGGACCCGGAGGAGCTGCAGGCTGAGGTCCCGGGTCCTTTCTCCCTCGGCTGCCGCACAGTGCCTGCGGACCGGGGAGGGAGATCTTTGATTGTCCAACTGCCAGCCCTGCATTAGCCGGCAGGGGTGAATCTCGGGGGGGCAATTGCCCCATTGCCCCCCCCCCCCGGATCCGCCAATGGTATGGCTGAGCATCACTGCTGGTAGTCATGGGTGTATACAACTGTGTCTGGTTGTGGGTATTAACCTTTCTATCTATGGTTGGTTGTTTCATGGGATAACCCTCTTCCCCCTAGCACGGGGCTAACTTTAACTATATACACTATATATACAACATGGGATTATCGCAAAGCTAGAGTCCGCGAGACCTCTGATTATCAGCAAAAATGTATATAGCTAGAGAGTCATGTTGTGCCTTTTCACTGTGGAGAGGGCATCTATGGGCTCTGGTGAATTTTTTTTTTTTGTCTTCCCTCCTCTCTCTCAACTTCCAGTCATGTCATGGGTCATGGGTTGTGCTAGGTATTGTCTCCATTTCGCTTTGAGGTCTGATATATGTTTCCCCGAGCTAAGGTGCGTTCTTGCCATATGTTCATAATCTAAGTTAACTGTGATATGCTGTATAAGGGCACTCCATTATGGGGTATCTGCCACCCTCCATGCTCTTGCTATTAGTGTGACGGCTGGTATCAGGATATGGAACACTAATATGGAGTCACCGTGCTGGAAATCTTTTAGTCCCATAAATAGAAGCCCATGTTTGGGTTTAAGTGTAAAGTCCATTTGTACTAGGTCTGCGATCAGTTCCTCCACTTTATTCCAGTATGGTCGGAGGTGCATGCACATCCACCAAATGTGATGCATTGTACCCTTGGCTATGCCGCATCTCCAACACCTGTATGTTGTCCTAGGGTATATGCGTGCCAGCCTTTCAGGCACCATGTACCATCTGAAGCCTATTTTCCTGCTTTGTTCTATGTGTGTGGCGCATGCTGTCCTACCTCTATGGGCTGTAAAGGACTATCTCCATTGGCTTTTGGCAATAATACAGTGGCCTGCCTGGCCTGTTGATGTACATATGGTGGGGTTGTGGTGCGCTTAAGTAGCGGGTTATAGCAGAGGGACATCGCCTTCTTTGGAGTGTCGTTGGCCAGACATATTTTTTCAAAGGGAGTTATGATACCCAGTGAGTCGTTAATCTGGGTTTGGTTGTATAATATCGATTTAATTTGTAGATAAGGAAAGATTGCTCTTTGTGGGAGATTAAACCTAGTTACTAAATCTGGCAATTGTAACAATGTCCCTCTTGAGTACAATTGTTGAAAATGATTACATCTGCCCTCGCCCCACAAACGGTGGTCAAATGTTGGATATGCAACTGTACACTATAAATAGGCGTTGTGGGTGACCAGAGTGCACTAGAGCACATCAAGTGTTGAACTGAGTCCCAGGTTTTAAGTAACTAGTCTGTGGTTCGTAGTATTGATTCCAACATTGGTCTTTGCTGCTTGGGTATCCAAAACAGATATTTCAGTTCTGTTCGTTGTGGTCAGTGAGACTCTATCTCTACCCATTGCGGTGGTTGCTGCTCGTCATGGGATGTCAGAATAGATGACAATATAGCTGCCCTGTAGTATAGTCTAATGTTGGGTAATCCCAGCCCTCCCTCGTCAACCGTTAGATGCTCACTCCGCTTTCATTCCCATCCCCATGGCCTGGGTTTTTAGCACATTGAGTTTATAATATGAATTTTCTCCATAAACCGCAATTTTGTTTAGAAAATTTGGGAGGAATATTTGGGGTTATGTTAGAGTTAGCAATACGTCATCGGCAAAAAGGTTGGCTTTATACTCTTTGCCTCCAATTCGGATACTCCGTATGGATTTGTTATGTCTAATGCGGTGTGCCAATGGTTCTAATGCCTCATCAGCTTCCTGCCCTCCCTCCCCTTATTTGTTTCATGTTTGTCTGCGTGTTTTATCTGTCACAGCTTGGTTGCCCAGTACACCCTGCAGGTGTGGTGGGTGCCCAGAAGGCATTGTGGGAGCCCAGCGTGCACATGGGAGCCCAGGGGGCATCTTGGTGGTGGCGGCGTGCTTCCGGTTATGGCCATATTTGGGCATACAGTTACCTTAATTGGGCCAATACACCTGTAACCCTATATCCATTAGGGGGTATATATAGGTGTACTGGCCTAGGGGAAAGACATGCTGCACCTGAGGAAGACCACAATTTGGGTCGAAACGTGTTGTGCTATTGGAAGATTTGTATTTTATTTTGTTTTTGTATATATTTATGTGGATAAAATTCCCACTTTTGAATAATTCGTTGGGTTCCTGTGAAACTGAAAATCTGAGGACCTTCAAGGAGAAAAGATCCAGTATATCCCATTAAGTGGATGAAATGCTTCTAAAGTCCAGAGCCTAACTTATGTGGCTCTGGATATTGTGAGTGTACCTTTTTCCCTTTACTACAGTATATATGTGTTTAACCCCTTAAGGACTGGACTGTTTTTGCGATGTTGTACATTTGCGACCAGGCATATTTTTACACTTTTGTGGTGTTTGTGTTTGGCTGTAATTTTCCGCTTTCTCATTTACTGTTCCCATACAAATTATATATTGTTTTTTCAGGACAAAAGGGGCTTTCTTTACATACCATTATTTATATAATCTCATGTATTTTAATTTAAAAAAAATAAAAAAATATGATGAAAAATTGAAAAAAATACATGTTTTTTGACTTTTACTTGAAAAATCTTTTACTCATCTACAAAAGCGAATGAAAAAAACTGCTAAATAGATTCAAAATTTTGTCCTGAGTTTAAAAATACCAGTGTTTACGTGCTTTTTTGCTTTTTTTGCATGTTATAGGGCTATAGGTACAAGTAGGATATTGCGGTTTCAAAACATACATTTTTAAAATTTATCAATAGTGACATTGTAACACTATTATCTGTCATAAATCTCTGAATAACACCCCACATGTACATATTTTTAAAGTAGACAACCCAGGGTATTCAATATGGGGTATGTCCAGTCTTTTTTAGTAGCCACTTAGTCGAAAACACTGGCCAAAGTAAGCATTCATATTTGTTTGTGTGTGAAAAAAGTAAAAAAACTAAATTGAACGCTACTTTTGGCCAGTGTTTGTGACCAAGTGGTTACTAAAAAGACTGGACATACCCCATTTGCAATACCTTGGGTTGTCTTCTTTTGCAAATGGTATGCCATCATGGGGGTAATTCTCATTCCTGGGCTACCATACGCTCTCAAAGGCAACGTAACCAACCTGGCCATTTTCAATGTAAAATATTTGACCCATATATTTGACCTTGTAACTTTCAAAAATGCTATAAAACCTGTACATGGGGGTACTGTTTTACTCGGGAGACATCGCTGAACACAAATATTAGTGTTTAAAAACTGGAAAACGTATCACAACAATTATATCATCAGTAAAAGTGCTGTTTGTGTGTGAAAAATGCTAAAAAAGTAACTTTCACTGACAATATCATCGCTGAGATATGTTTTACTGTTTTGAATTACTAATATTTGTGTTCAGCGAAGTCTCCCGAGTAAAACAGTACCCCCCATGTACAGTTTATAGGGTGTCGTAGAACGTTACAGGGTAAAATACAGTGCTAGCAAATTAAATTCTCTGGAATTTCGGCCTGGGTTGGCAGGCAGGTCCCTCAAATTGCAATCAATAAAATTACTGAATTATGTAATAATATTACATAAATACGCACGTAGAATTTAAATATATATGCATATTTATATATTTGAAGTCTACGTGTATATTTATATAATTATTTATGTAATTTTGTATATGGACATATGTATATTTCGTATTATTTTTATTTATTTATATATACATAGATATATATACAAATTCATTCTAAGTGTATTTTGATATATATATATATATTAATTTTAAAATACAGTTAGAATAAAATTTCATATAGATATAATTTTTTACATTTTTATTATTTAAAAAAAATTATTTAATTTAAATTACTTATTATTTATATTTTATAATATATATATATATATATACATATATATATATATATATATATAATATATATAGTTATTATATATATACGTGTTTAATTTAATTATAAGTGTATTTTTATATTAATATAAGTACATATTAATATAAAAATACACTTAGTATGGCATTATATATATGATATATAGACATATATTATATAAATATAATATGTCTATATATCATATATACACATATATAATTATTATTTTTTTTTTTAATTAACCTTAACTTTATTTTTATTTTTGATTTTACAGTTGCAGGGAGACTGCCTGTCAGCACAGACAGTCCCCCTGCAGGCAGACACATGGACACTTATTGTGACCATGTGATCGCTGTGTTAAGCGATCACATGGCCACAGGGGTCCTAATTCAGTGTGGGGGAGACTGTCTGGGCTGCAGGCAGTCTCCCCACAACCGGAGCAACGCTGATCGCCGCCGGGGGAACGACGGCGATCAGGTAAGTAACGGAGACCGTTAGGACGGTTCAGGACCGTCATCGGTCGGCAAGCCAAAAATGCCGATGACGGTCCTGAACCGTCCTCGGTCGGGAATGGGTTAAGCAGTATACACTATGCTGTGCTTTCTATTCTTATATATAGGGTCCACAGTTAAAGAGTTATAACGGTCAATAGGACCAAGACATTTGCATGTAAAAAGGTAAAAAATATTACTGTCTGTGCGCTATCACCTTTCTTTGTCCGTGTGGTGGTATATGGCCATTGTCAACTGGGGTTTGGACCAGCGGTCCGTGGAAAGTGGATGGGTTGGGCTGTCCCTCCACTAACCTCAGATACAGTTATGGATAACGGACGTGTCCACTGAGCCAATAAGTGGCTAGTGGTTAGCATTACGAAATGGAAGGACCAAGAAAAAGCCTTCTACTGGTTGGTATGAAGGGGAGGGGCAGATGCCCTAAGTTATGTTTGGTTGGCAAGGTGGTACTCAGGGATGTATCTATTTACTGAGTAATTATGTATATAGTGTTTGTTACGTTGAAGTTTTAATATTTATAATAAAACTGTGGCCTATTTACTCCAAAGCAAGCCTGTTGTGGTTCATTTCGGGAACAAGTGGTGGGTTTATCAATGGTAAAGGTTTTATGCCTGTACACAGTTACCCTCTACCTATGCACATGACTGAAGAAGATAGTTTTCCATAAAGGAATATGTTTTGACGATGTGAGCGCTTACCTGTTTATTGTTTATTAAAGACAAATGTAATGAGGGATATACATTTACTATGGAAAAAAACAAGCATATAATTATTTTAAAAAATACAAAAAAGTTTGGTTTTAGTTTTTTCTTTTCTATATATATATATTTATATATATTGATGTACTCTACTTTTCTCAGCATATGTACATAAATACTCAGTGAAGACTTATTTTCTTTTTTTTTTTTCAGAATATGCCTATCGGTATAATGAAAGGGATGGAGCAGGGCTCCCCAAAATCCCAGTACACCCAATAGGCGCTAATGATGCAGAGAAACTACTGCAGTAAGTTGATATGCCTGTAACATCCTGAAGATATTGTGAAAACGTAGATTACTGCTGTTGTATTTGCTAGAGTAGAGTAGTAAACCATAGATGAAAGATAATTTGTAATAAACGACAAGAGGGGCATGATGATATGGTCAAGTTGTCAGGATACTCCTGTCTTGACATCGTCATATTGATTCATTTATCCCCCGTGTATGGCTTTAACTATGATGTAAAGTTTCCTTTTTTTTCCTGTTACTTTTTATGGATTGAGACACCTTTTTGTTTTCCTGAGTAGGAATCCAGTATTTCAATTTCAATCACAGAGACATGGCTCTTTCATGTCCACATCATGGGATTTTATAATGTCATCTCAAGGCTTCTCTATAGCGAGAGGACTATATATATAAAATACACAAGATCCAGTGCACTCACTCATCCACTAAACAGCAACTTCAAAGCTCATAGATTTTACTAGTTTTTTTTAAAAAAACACCTAATTTAGGCAAAAATAATCAAGGTTTAGTTACAGTATAGGCTCATACATTGCATAAGCCTGCCATAACGTCAATGTACCCCATCTTTGGCAGGTCCTACACTAGCAACGTAATGCCTACTCTTATGAGACTAACCCACTTACCTGGGGGAGAAAAAAATTTAATCTGGGACTCTCTGCAGTACTAAATAGAGCCCTGGGATAAGGCACCTGTGACAGGAATGGGTGCAAAACCAAGGAGTTGGCCTGGATTCGCGGATATATATACTGTATATATAAAAACAGGTGGCTGGGGTGCTGCTTGAGCCAATTCATACACTACGACATGCGTCTAGAGTTTTGTGGCGGTCGGTGTCCACACTTGGAGATGTACTCCAGTTAACCCAAGGAACCCTAACAGTCTGGATTCCGATACTTCCTTTCAACTTCCTCTACTCCTATTCCTTGCACTTTTACTTTCTTCAGTATCTCCTGCTCCCTTTCTATTCTTCCTTCCTGTGCCAGGACACCCGGGCATATAATGTAAATTACACATTTACGAAAAAAGGTGCACTTTTAGTTAATCATTAGATTGGGGGAAAAATCTCACATGCTATCTCTGCCCAAAAGTGGAACCGGTTACACTCTTGAAGAGAGACCAGGCAATCTCAAGATCTTAAAAATATATCAAATGTGTTTCAGCTGTTTTAGAAACCAGTACAGTCGCTTCACTCCGCAATAAATGATTGCATGCTTCACTTACCATTCCATTTGTTTTGTTTTATGTTGCATCACAATGAAATGCATAACGAATGTCAAAATATGCACAAAGGTTTTTTATTTAATTTTTCATTTGACAGAAATTGCTATAAAACGTATTTGCCTTACAAAACCAATTGTGTAAATGCACTATTCTTTTTTACAATGCCATCCACTTTGTAAACAATATTCATAATACTGTTTAACAGAAAAGCTATTGAAATTAGAGCGGTTTTAAAGAATTAAGGTGATGTTTTTCATATTCTCCTTTTGTCAAAAGGGCTTAGAATCAAAGTGACAATTGTATATAAATTAAAATAATAAACAAAACAAAATTTAGTTTTGCATTTACAGCATTTGTAAAGAAATGATTATATTTGTCCTCTAAGCCTTTGTCAGAGGAGCAGGCAGGGCCGTCTTTAGCGCGGGGCAAACGGGGCAGCTGCCCCGGGCCCAGTTGCTCCTGGGGGGGCCCCAGAGCAGCTGCCCCGTGGGCCCCGCGATTTCAGCAGCCCCATGTACCCACCGGCCCGCCAACCAAGGAGGCCCCCGGGTGGCCCATGCACTAAGGGCCACCCTGTGGGCATGTGGCAGAAGGGGCCCGGTCGGGCGCTGTGACGCTTAAACAGCGCGACCGGGCCCCTTCCTGTACCGGCTGGGAGGAAGTGAGTACCGCATGTCACTTCCTCCCACCGAAGATAGCCGCGCGGGAGGAGGAAGGCAGGGAGGAGGGGAGTTCCAGAGAAGAACTCCCATCTGCCTCAGCCTGCCACTGGACCCCAGGGAAACCACCCTCCATAAAAAGGTAAGAACCTGGAGGGTGGCTAAATGTATGTTAGTATGTGTGTGTGTTAGTATGTCTGTGTGTGTTAGTATGTGTGTGTCTGTGTGTGTGTGTTAGTATGTCTGTGTCAGTATGTCTGTTTGTGTATGTATGTCAGTATGTCTGTGTGTGTCTATGACAGACATAATGACATACACACACACACAGACACACAGACATACACACACACACACAGACATACACACACACTGACATACACATACACACACATACTGACATACACACACAGACATATACACACACAAACATACTGACATACACACACAAACATACTAACACACACAGACATACTGACATACACACACAGACATGCTGACATACACAGACATACTGACATACACACACAGACATACTAACACACCACACAGACATACTAACACACACAGACATACTGTGTGTATGTCTGTGTGTTTGTATGTCAGTATGTCTGTGTGTGTATGTCAGTATAATCCTGTGTGTGTGTGTGTGTATATCCAATATGTCTAATGTGCTAATCTATCTTTGCCCTTCTATCAGTGTATGTGTCTGTGTGTGTCTGTGTCAATATATCTGTCAGTGTATGTGTCTGTGAGTATGTATGTGTCTGTGTGTGTATCAGTATGTCTGAATGTGTGTCAATGTTTGCCAGTATATATTTTTGTGTCAGTGCATGTGTGTGTCAGTATGTATCTGCGAATGTTTTAATGTGTCTGTCTGTGTGTGTATGTGTCAGTATGTCTGTCAGTGTGATTGCGGGTTGGGCGTAATGGGGAGGGAGGGTGCAGTGACAGGGCCCAGGGGGCCCAAGAAAAGGCTTTGCCCGGGGTCATATTCATATTATAGACGGCCCTGGGAGCAGGATCGCCCCTTCCGACACGTAGGTCGGCTAATTCTTGCACACCGTTCGAGTTCTCAATGGTCTATGGGGCGAGACATAGACAAGGAACAAAGAATGGAAGGCAGTCTAGCAAAGTCAATACTAACACAAAAACGTTAGTAAATTTGATATGATTATAAAATCAGGTAATAATCAAAAAGTTTCCAATTTAATTAATAACATGCTAATTGAATGGATGTTAGGGATCGACCGATTATCGGTTTTACCGATATAATCGGCCGGTATTCTCGGCAATATCGGTATCGGCCAATTCAGATACCGATATTGCCGATAATACCTCCTAGGACCGCCAGGCTCATTACAAGCCCGGCGGTCCTGGGGGGACGGAGACCAAGCGCTTACTCACCTCCCAGCAGCTCCTCCAGCTCCCCAGTGCAACTCTCGCGAGACCCGCGGCCGTCAGAGCGTTGCCATGGATCACCATGGCAACGCTCCGCGCGAGTTGCACTGGGGAGCTGGAGGAGCTGCTGGGAGGTGAGTAAGCGCTTGCTGCCCGCCCCCCCCCAAAGCTCAGCCAATACCACTGGACCACCAGGGACTGTCATATCCCCCCTCCCTGGCCAGGTAACAAGCAGGGAGGGGGGACAACAAACAAAAAATAATAATTAAGTAAATATAATTTTTTTTTTTTAAATAATTTAATAAAAAATGCCCCCTCACACACTGCATTATATACACATACACTACACAAACACACTGTGTATATAATGCAGTGTGTGTGTTTGTAAAGTGTGTGTGTGTGTGTTTGTATACAATGCACACAAATACACTGCATTATATACACATTATACAAACACACACTGCATTATATACACACACTATACAAACACACTGTGTATATAATGCAGTGTGTGTTTGTGTAGTGTGGGTATATAATGCAGTGTGTGTTTGTATAGTGTGTTATTTAAAAAAAAATAAATTATATTTACTTAATTATTATTTTTTGTTTGTTGTCCCCCCTCCCTGCTTGTTACCTGGTCAGGGAGGGGGATATAGCAGTCCCTGGTGGTCCAGTGGTATTGGCTGAGCTTTGGGGGGGGCGGGCAGCAAGCGCTTACTCACCTCCCAGCAGCTCCTCCAGCTCCCCAGTGCAACTCTCGCGGCCAGCGTGTCGCGCGGAGCGTTGCCATGGTGATGCAGTGTGTGTTTGTATAGTGTGTGTATATAATGCAGTGTGTGTTTGTGTAGTGTGGGTATATAATGCAGTGTGTTTGTGTGCATTGTATACAAACACACACACTA